TCAGCTCCCAACAAAAGTCATCATCTAGCTGCTCAAACCCAGTACCTGAGAGCTTCTAGAGGCAACCACCATTGGTGGTGAGCTTGGGCTGACTGAGAGAGGACTTAGTATGTGTGCTGGTAACTTCATGTGATATAAAAACAAAATAACTGACAGAAAACTTAAGGAAGGGTTTGTTCTGGTTCAGTTTGAGGACACAGTCCATAGTTAGGGAAGGAATGGAAGCAGGCGCATGCGATGGCTGGCCATTTGTACCACAGTCAAGAAGCAGAGAGACATTTCTTCTGTTCATCTCATTTTCCCCTTTCCACTGAGCTGGATCCCAGCCCACGGGATGTCACCCCATTTAGAGTGGGTTTCCTCATCCAGTTAATCCAGTACAGGAACTCCTCACACATGCGCCCAGAATGAGTCTAAATCCTATCAAAGTCAGCAACCAATATTAGCCATTAAAGCATGCCACTTTCAAAGACAGCCACCCAACCAACCCATTAAGACACAATGCTAATGCCTCTTAAATTACCTGTTGCTGCTATTCCCTGGCCTTTTTTAGGCTGCTTTGGGGCTGTGTACTGGAAGAATTCATTTCCATGGCCCGTAGTTGCTTGATCCAGTCCAAAAAGAGAAGCCAGCCTGGCACTGTTAATGGAAAATGAAAATAAAATTCCGTATGACATATCTCAAACTTTTAATCACTTTAAATGCTAATGCCTGTGATTGTAAATATCTCTGGTAGTGTGGATCACCATTCAGTAACAGAAGTAGCAGCTGAAGCTCTCTGAAATCAAGATTATATCTGTTATTTGAAATCAAGTTCCACATGATTATACTTTGTAAAGATTTCTCAAATGTATTCCCCACTTCCCCCTCACTGCCTCGTCCTCCATTTATGATGCCATCACCTCTGTATAGTTTTATCACTGCAATAATCTCCTAATTCAACCCCCTACCTATATCTTACGCAGGTTTTTCTCCCCCTAAACCTACTCCAGTACGGGGGAGTGACCATAGGGCATTGAACATGCCAGGCAAGTGATCCACCAGCAGGCTACATCCACACCATCACCTCTTTTATGTTATTTAACTTCATGATGGAGTCTTGCCAGGCTGGCCTTGACCTCTCAGTCCTCCTGTGCAGCTGATATTAAGGCCTGTGCCACCAGACCCAAGTCTTCTCTACTTCTCATACATTCTACACACGGCATCTACATGATTATTCTTGATGACTGTTCAATATTAGTAAGATAGAGACTAGAAACTTGGACCGCCACGATGGCTCAGTAAGTAAAGGTGCTTGTCGCCAATCCCAATGGCATGAGCTCAATCTGCAGAAACCATGTGGTGAGAGGAGAGAAACAACTCCTAAAAGATGCCCCTGGCCTCCATACTCATGCCATGACAAACATGTGTGTATGTACCCATGCACCTACATATATACACATTCACATGTACACACACATACACACTACAAATAAGTAAACAAATAAATGCAAACAAATATTTTTTTAAGTCCAAATTCTACAAAATGAAGGTGGTTTTAGAAGATCCTTAAAAATTCATCCCCTTACTTCCAAAGCTTCAGACATGGCCATTTCTTATCTCTAAATGTGTGCCACAGCTACTATAAGGAACTTTCAGCTTCTTTTCTTTTTAAAGATTTTAAATATTATTGTTGTTAGTTGTCGTTGGGTTTTGTTTTGTGTATGTGTGTTTTCTTCTCTCTCTCTCTCACTACACAGCCCTGGTTGTTCTAGAAATCATGATTTTGCCCGCATTAGAGTCTGTGTCACGTGCATGCAGTGCCCACAGAGGCCAGAAGAGGGCATCAGATTCCATGCAACTTGTGTTAAAGAGGCTATCTCAAAACAAGGCCTTGTGGGTGCTGGAAAAGTGGTTCAGATGTTAAGAGCACTTGCAGAAGACTTGGGTTCAGCTTCCAGCACCCAGATGGTGGTTCACAACCATCTGTAAGATCAGCTCCAGAGAACCTGATACCCCGTACATATACTCGTATACATTATCATTAAGTAAATAAATCTAAAATTTTAAAAGCTTTGTGATTTCATGTTTATCATTGCTGGATTGATTTTGTTCTACTGCTTAAGGGGTAGGAATTGTGCCTTATTCCTCTCCGTATTAGCTGAAGTCAAATATGATGTACTTAGCAGACATTTACCTATTTCTTCATTTCAGAGTCATAAAGGTGGGGAAAAGGCTAAGACCGAAGGAGAAGGCATGTCTTTTGATTACAGCTTTTAGGTTAACCATTGATTTTAAGGTTGGGGAACTTGCCCAGGCTTGATTAGTCTGGTTAATCAGCACATGGGAGGCAGAAGCAGGCGGATCTAGCATAAGTTGGAGGCTGGGGTCTGGCATAAATTGTGAGTACCAAGACAACCAGAGATGCACAGTAAAATTATGTCTCAAAAACAAACAAGGGCCAGGTGGTGGTGGCGCACGCCTTTAATTCCAGGAGGCAGAGGCAGGCGGAGCCTGGTCTACAGAGTGAGTTCCAGGACAGGCTCCAAAGCTACAGAGAAGCCCTGTCTCAGAAGAACAAGCAAACAAACAAAAAGAGGCCCAGGAACGTGAAAAGCAGACTATTAGTTACACAACATTAGTGCTCGTGCTCTGACTACTTCTCAATATCCTAAGAGGATCAGGAAAGTTGTGAAGTCAAGTCACAGAGTGAACCGCACTGCAGAAGAGGAACCGAAAGGTGGTGTCAGTGTTCACAGCTGCTCCACGTCCTAAACAAAGCCAAACCTTCTATAGTCTTCTTTCTTCATTTAATGTGTGTGTGGGTGTTTTGTCTGCATGTGTGTCCTGTGCACCATGTTCATGCCTGGTGCTCAACGAGGCCAGAACGGTGTTGGATTCCTAGGGTTGTGAGCCACCATGTGGGTGGTGGAATCAAACCTAGGTCCTCTAGAAGAGAAGAAGCCAGTGCACTTAACCACTGCACCATCTCCCCAGCTCACTTTTCCTATCCTTAAGCTTAAATTTGATTCTGTTTTCCTAGGGACAAAACTCGATCTACCTTTTTTTGTTGAGCCTTTCATCATCCAATTGTCTGTTGCCATGCCTAGGACCCTCAGTCATATCTGTAATGAATCTCGAGTCCTTCGTTAAGCCTGCTCAGGGAAGCAGACTAGCTGAGCCCGCAAAAACTTTTCTTGGGTTAGGAATCAGGAGAAGAGCACATGACTGTCATCTGTGTAGTCAGCAGCAGATTCTTTGATGCATGGAAGTTGAGAGTCTTAAAATTCCTTCATAGACTCTCCTCAAATACTCTCACATAGTGAAGACTATGAAATTAAAATATGCCTTAAAGCTGGGTGTGATACCACATGCTTTTAATCCCAGCATTCAGGAGGCAGACAGGCATATCCTTCTGAGTTCAGGGCCAGCTTGGTCTAACTGTCTCAAATAAATAAACAAACCTTGAAGATATTCAAAAGGCCCCATATACAGACACACACAAAACAGGTTTGGGCTGAAAATCCAGTCAACAGCAGCAGAGGTTGTAAATGTTTGTGGTGAAATATGAAAGAATGGAAACATTTTTCCAGTCAAAATGGTAAGTTCAGGTTCAATGAGAGAACCTGTCTCAAAAAATAAGGTGGAAGGACCTCTGTCCTCTACAAACATGTTCACAGAATTCATACACCACACGCATGTGTCATGTACACATGTGTGTGTGCATGCACGCATGTGTGCACAAATAAGTAAAACCAAAAGAGAGCTAGTCATTTTACGGTCATTTCTGTATTGAATTCCAGTATAGCAGATCAATCACTATTGTGACCTCTCAGCATCTGATAGGATGATGGGCATGTTGACGAGTCTGTGTTTTCTTAAGTAGGTTCATCACTATGCAGAAAACTTGTACAGTGTATGTTCAAAGAGAAACTCTGCAAAGATGTGAGCTTTGCAGTTACCAAGGCTGAAGGGAGTCAGAGGTCCACTAAGACAATGGAAGGATGAACACTAAGTTAATTGTTAAAGGCGGGGGAACCTCCCTTTTAAAACGACTGTCCTGAGACAGCGCAAAACTGGATGCAGTCTCTTCCGCTGGCTTTAAGCCTTAGGGCTTACAAAATGTGATTTCAGGCACTTCCTGAGCAATCAGAATCATCCGGGAGTAAAAGTTCTGAGTGCCAGAGTGAAATAAGCAACATAAGCAGTTCTGTCAGGACTTAGATTTCAGTGGCTTCCACGTGCAAAGACTAGTGGGAAGAAGGAAGATAACAGCCTGGGGCTGTGAAGGCAGAGAACCACCAAAAAGGTAACGTCCACGGTAGGCTTTGGAGGAAGTTGACCCTCCAGCTCCTGGTTCAAAGTGACACCACCTGGTTCACCGGAAAGAGAAAGTTTCTTGAATTTACAACTCATAATTATAGGAGCTGAGTCCTATAAAAACCCCGAGGCAGGCAGTCTTCTCGGCAATCATCTCCATTTCCCTGGAGAGAGACACTGTGATTCATAAAGCAAAAGTGTGTCAAGGGAGATGCCAGGTCCTGAACCAAATCTGACACCAGAGTGCGGCAAGGGTCTGGACCCGGAAGTTGAGAAGAGGCCTGAGAAGAGACGGACCCTTGCAGCCACCCACCGGTCTCTCGGCCCTGCGCTCCGGCCCTGACTTCTCAACCACTCACCCGCCGCTTGGCGAAAGGAAGTCGGTGTCATCCTCGTCTCCGGCCCCGAACATCACGTCGATTTTTGCTCGAGTGAAGGGAGGAAGTCGGATGTTCCCAGGGCCTGTCACAACCGATGTCGTAAATTGCTGCGGCGGCGAGCTGCTTTCCGGCAGGAAAACTCTCTGGTGGTAGCGGGGCCCAGAGGAGACCCGGCGGTGGAGAAGGTGGAGCAAAGGCAAATGAGACGGTGAGCGCCGGGTGACGCAAGGCCTCGCCAGCCCCCCGAGAGGGTGGAGTTCCTAGGCTCTGAGGGAGGATTGGGCAGATAACCCAGGGGGCGGGTCCAGAGCGGGAATCGGTGGCCTCTGCTGCGGTCGTGGGACACGTCGAGCCGAGCAGTAGTGGCTGGGGCTTGGGAGAAGTCCAGACCGGGTGAAGGGATCCAGTTCTGAGAGGAAGGCACGGGCGGCGGAGCTCGTCCTGGAAAGGTAAGGCCTTCTCCCCTTCCTTTCCCAGTCCCAGAGTGTTCGCCATCCTTTTCCCCTTCCGAACCAGGACCCCCCGCCGCTCCTTTTGGCTCTGTGAACCGAGAAAGAGCCCGTGACTGGAAGTCTGGGGATCTGAGCCGTGCGGCGGCCTGGCCCCTACAGCGTTACTGCTATTATGCCCTTAGGCAGGATGCTCGGGGCCTCAGTTTCCCCATTTACGCAAAGGACCGTGTGTTCACTGCTTCCATGTGCGGCTTGCCAAGGTTTTAAATCTCAGCGATCATCGAGTCCTATCCGGGTCTCTTCGTAATCAACGAATTTGCAAACAAGAAAACTAACCGCTTGGGTGACTAGTCCGAGGTCAAGCAGAGTAAAAGGGAAACCTCATCCTTTGTATCAGGGTTTAGAGAGCCGACGAGTGAAGGACAGCCCTGGCCCTTAACTTAACCGTGTGGCTTACGGCTTGGGGAAGGACACCGATTCTAAAATCTAGATAGGAGAGGTTCAGAAGAACTGAGGTATTCAGGAGGATGGATGATGGGACTTTGAAAGTAGAAAATCATCAGCTCACACTTGCTGGGCTGAGTTTTGCTGCCAAGGTTTTAAGTCAGTGTTACTTGTTGCTGACTTCTCCGCCTCTAGTCTTCACCGTGTGTGTGTGTGTGTGTGTGTGTGTGTGTGTGTGTGTGTACGCGCGCGCGCATGGCGCGCGTTCTGTGTACTGTATTTCTTTGGTTAACCCGATATCATTTTTGAACGATCATGAACCAGACCTGGTTAGCCACGCTGTGGATACGCAGATAGTGTGTCCCATTGTAGCGTCCATTTCCGCAATGTCTTTGGAGTTCTTTCTCTCAGTTTTTCTTCTCAGTCAGGTTGTTCCTCTAAGTGTCCCTTACCGGATTGCTTTAGTGTTAGGATAATGTTGAAGGGATGGGTAGCTCCCTCCAGAGAACTTTGTACATCTTGGCTCTTCCCTCTTTATTATAGTTTTTGAACTACTAAGTTGTAAGTCTTCTTGCCCACAGTGGGTTCTCATTAACTTTTTTTATTAGATTGATTAACAGAATTTATCTTTGTTCCCTGGTTCCTTAATTTATTCATATCCCCCCTACCCCCTGTGACCCAAAGAGCCAGCGATGGCTCTTGTTTTTTTATAAGTAGCTTCCAGAAAGATAAAAATGCTGTACTGGCTGTGAACTGTCTGGGTTGCTTGGTCTCTTTTGTTCATTGAAGATGACTGTACTATTGTCTAAAACTCCCGGGGAGGAGGGGGAAGGGGATAAAATAACTAGAAATACTATACATTACTTATAATTTTTGTAAGTAAATTATTCCTGTTTATCTTCAGATAAAGCTGTTGGTCTGCTCCTGTGTTTATTTTACAGATTAAGATAGTTCAAGCAGTGAAATCTGACTGTTAGAGCAATGATAACTGAAATATGCAGTAGGCCTAGAGCAATAGCTCTGTTTAAATTGTGAACTTGAGTGGGTGTGGCAGGCAGGGGGGTGAATGGGTAGGTTCTAACTCTGCCCTAGGCCTGATCACTCTAGCATTAAAACATATCAGTAATATTCTCTCTCTCCCTCTCTCTCTCTCTCTCTCTCTCAGTTTTTTGGGGTTGTTTTGTTTGGTATTTTGTTGTTTTGTTTGAGACAAGGTTTCTCTATGTAGCCCCAGCTGTCCTGGAACTCCCTCTGTAGATCAGGCTGGCCTCGAACTCAGAGATCTGCCTGCCTCAGTGATGGGTATACACCTGGCATGGTTTTTTGTTTGTTTGTTTGGTTGGTTGGTTTTTGGTTTTTGGGTGGTGGTGGTGGTGTTTTTATTTTTTTGAGATGGTCTATTTATGTAGTGTCCCTAGCTTCCCCGAAACTCAATATGTAGACCAGACTGACTTCGAACGCTCACTGAGGTCCTCCTAAGAGAACGTCTGAGCTCTTTTCTTGCATTCTTGGGTGGAGGAGTTTTTTTCTCATGGATGTTTTAAATGGCTTTTCTTAGATTTTTAGTAACCCTAAAACTGGCCTGTTTGGTTATTGGACACAGTAGGCAGGCATAGTATCTGATCTTGAACTCCATTCCCAACTTGAGGAAGAGAAAGGTAGAAATGAGTCTTCCTTTCAAGCTTAGAATTGGAAATGTCGGATCCGGTGCTTCTGCAAAGCTGGTACCACTTCCTGGATTAGGATATCCAGCTTGGTACTATTGGATTGGAGTCAGGAAACCTGAGTTCCTGCCCCAGCCTTTGTAACGCATCAGAGTTTGGGCCAGGTTCCCCAAACACCTTTAAAAAGGGACAGATCAGATGTAGACACGTCTGAACCCTGAGCTCAGGTTCCAGTTCAGTGTGTTTGTTCTGTTTCTTAACCATACAACTCTGAATGTGTAGAAAATGTATTGATCATCAAGTGTGGTGGCACACCTCTTTAATCCTAACACTTGGGAAGCAGAGGTAGGTGGATCTTGAGAATTAGAGGCTAGTGTAGTCCATATAATGAGTTCCAGGTCAGCAAGGGCTACATAATGAAAATCGTACATCCATACAGAGAGAGAGTGTGAGAGACATTTCCTTAACTAGGAAGCAGCAAATTTAATAATTCCTTTCAAATCAAATTTGCAAAAAATGATAACTTTTTTATTAGGCAAGTTCATATTACGATCTTCCAGTGGTATAGAGATATGAATTGAATGTATATTTAAACTGTATATAGTATTTTATTCACTCAAGTCACTAAAAGTAGAATATATAATACAATTGGAGAAATACTACCTCAGAATCTACTGTGTGTAAAACTTTGTGTCAATTGAAAATGAACCTCTAGGAAATTATTGTAGAATATCAAAGTAGAAAGAGATTCTATCTTCTCTTCATTATAACCCGAAGGGAAACTGGCCTGAAGTTTCTTTTTTTTTTTTTCTTTCCCCGAGACAGGGTTTCTCTATGTACCTTTGGAGCCTGTCCTGGAACCCTCCTGTAGACCAGGCTGGGATTAAAAGCATGTGCTACAACCACCCAGTTTCTGGATTGAAGTTTTTAAGATTAATACCAGTGCCCTAAACAGTGTTTACCATGCCTTAAACCTCAGCCAATCTGCATAACCTCACATTCTGGGGATTAATCTTTTTGTTTTTAGATTCCTCAACTACTGATATTGTAGGGTTACATAGAGGGCTTTGAAGATGAATAGAATTCCGAAAGAATGCTGGGAGGAGGTAAGGTTTTCCTGGTCGAAGGAGCAACTTTGTCAAACACAGGCAGGCACATGTTACCATGGCACTGGGGAGTGAAGCCAGGATTTTGCACAAGCTGGGCAAGCATTCTACCACTAAGCTATGTATCACCAGCCTAAAGGGGGCTTTGCAAAATTTTCCAAGACAAGAGTTGTCCTTTTACCTGCTACACTCAGGACTATGGCTTGGCTAACTAAAGTATGTTAAAGTAGGGAATCATACACATTTTACCCGTCCTATTTCAGCTTTAAGCACAAATATCCTCTGTAGGCTTTGTTGTTTTTAACCTAAAACCTCAATTTTTTTCTTGGAGTATGGTTCTCAGAGATCAACGGACTACAGGCAAATCTTACCTCAGCTGCCTGTTTTACAGTTCTATTACAACACAGCCGTGCTCATTTATTTACATATTATCTATGGTTACTTTCATCCTACAAGGTAGAGTTGTGTATCTGCAGCGAAAACGGCATGGGCCACAGTGTTTAAATGTTTAGTAATTGGTCCTTTATAGAAAGCTTATCAACCCCTGGCCTGAATCATGTATGACTGCTTTCTTCAACATACAATAACTGCTTAAGTTAAGTCACAAAGAAGCCTTACTACAAAATTTTTCTAGATATTTATGAAATTTTCTGCCAACCTTTAGAGTTTTTTCCTGCATCTAACAACGGGTTGTGGGCATCTGTGTGACTGTCTCTTACCTAGTCTAGCCAAAGCATTCAACTTCATTTTCATAGACACAACCACTAGAATGGCTCTGTAGAGTAGAAGTCATGTACTTAAGCTTTGGGGTCAGATTTCTTCACTTAATTGTATAGGCCTTCGACAAGTTGCTGAGTTTTTTCTTCTATAAAATAGGGGTAACCCATTTTCTGGAGTTCTTCTGAAGGTCATATGAGTTAATTCACATAAGGCATACAGTGCTAGAAGAATACTTACAGATAGTAAGTGCTCAGTTAGTGTTGGTGTACCTAATCTAGCAGGGATACCTGTGTCCCACAGTTTAGCTTCTAAACTATTAAAGCAATGATCCCTGGGTCTCATGCTAGGAGACAAGGAGTCTAAAGCCAGGGCCAGCCAGAGAGAACCCTTTCTCCTGGAAAGAGATTAAAACCTGTCTAACTACCTTCTAGAAGACTCAGTGCTGTGTGGAGCCACACGTTGACTGGGACTGTTAGGTAGGCCTACCTGAAACTTCACCTTCACTTCAGAATCCTGAAGGTGGACTGTAGGGGGAGGGCCAGTACTTTTTTTTTTCCCTCTTCCTGGTGTGGCCACATTGAATAAATCTCTTCCTCCTCAGTCAAATTATTCAGGGGTTCTTTTCTGAGAGTTTAAGATTAATAATATACTCAGAGAATTTAAAAAAAATTATGTAAAAGAAACCCAAAGCCATATTTGAGTTCAAGATGACAAGTTTCCAATTAGATCAGCATGAAATTATTTATACTCTAAATGACATGACTAATATTTTTGCTTGGTTTGATTTTTAGACAGGGTCTCACTGTGTATCCCCAACTATTCTGGAGCTATACAGACCAGGATTGCCTCCAAGTCAAAGATCCACCTCCCTCTACTGCCACGGCATGAGATGGTCAACATTTAAAAATCCAGTTAGTTCAGGAGTTTCTAGAGGAAAAATGTAATCTCTAGAATGTGGGGTAGTGCAGATTGACTGAGGTAAAGCATGGTAAAACACAACTTGGCACTGGGATTAATCTTAAAAACTTCAATTCAGTTTCTCTTTGGATTACAATCTAAATTT